GCTAGCCCAACTCTGATACCAATTGTTAGGGAAAATCGCTTGCTTGAGACAAAGGACTATCAAGAGAATAAAAAAGATAATATGCTAGAAGAATAAAAAATCACAAAAGACTTTGTAAGATTATGTGAGATCCACCAACATCCACAGCTATTTAGATAACTAATCAACTATTTCAAAGACAATTATAAGATGTAATATATTTGCACTTTCCAAAAATTCCTCTTTTATTTTATTATATTTTTCCCTCTCACTCCTTATTTTCCCTTACCTCTCTTCTAATTGTGAATATAACAACTCAAAAAGCTTAACCGACAAAAACATCTCAAGAAAGAATAATATCAGCTATTACATGTATTTATAATATGATTTAATATTATATTACATACCATAAACCTTTCTTTCTTCTGTTCTCTATAATTACATAGTAACTAGAGCTTCTTTGCTTTCCTTTATTGTTTCAATTGCAAGCCATCATAGCAGACTATCGCCAGCACTTTGAATGCCACAGGCCACCTCCTACTTTGGCTGTTCTCCTTGGAAGTAAAACCATGCAACAAACACAAACAAGAAAAATAAAATATAGCGAAAAGAAAGAACACTAGGATTTAATGTGAAAAAAATCAGAACTGGAAAAAACTCACAGAGTCACACTACACCAAGAAGTCCCCAATAAAAATTGGGAGAAATTTGTACATACATCTTTCTCTCTCATTTTCTCCTTATCTCTCTTCACTCTTGCCCCATTCTCTACTAGAGCTAACAAAGAGATACATATAAAAAGCTACCCAAGGGACACAACCCTTCAAGAAAGATGAGAAAGAAAACTGCCCAACCCCTCTCACAGGGCCAAGTTTGGAGCTCTGTGGAGTTCCACTCTGTCTCCAATATGTTTATAGCATTGTAGTGTTGGGGTGTAGAGAGTCACAGCGCTTCGCTCTCTATATACCTCCAACCAGAAAATGCACCGCAACAGTGTTGTACGGGAAAAAAATTTTCGGGCGCAAAGCACCTAAACCCAAGCTGGGGGACCCCCTGCAACCCCTCGACAAGCTCAACCGATGGAATTGAGGTCCAAGGCAACAATATAGCCCGATTGATTGACACACTCAGATTCCACATAAAACTAACATTAACAAGTCAAACAACTGATTACTAGGACTCAACCTTCAGCTACTCTTCTTCGTTGGCCACCTAGAGCTCGGCGCCCTTCCGGTCAACCTTAATTTGATAAGTTTTCTTCCAATTTTTTATTATGATGAGGTAGAGAATTAAAAAAAAAAAAAACCTTTAAACATATTTAATAGAGAAATCAAGTTACCTATGAATTCTATTGAAATCAAACACCTATTAATTTCATGTTAAATAAATTTACATCCTCTTGAATTCTTTCAAACCAGGGATACCCTAAATGTTATTATGGGATAATTAATTAATCATGCAGCAATACACGTTTATGATTACGGGGTCGTTGCTCTTCAGCTTCCTTAGAAGTAAGATGAAACTTTCAGAAAGTGAGAATCTGAATTCATTGTGAAATAAAAAAAAAAATCATTGATTTTCTCTTTTATAGTTCTCCACTTGCATCAACTCATCCTTCATTAAAAACACTTTGCATTGTTGAGCACACATTGATCGTCTACTTGTTTCTGACAGATTAAAATATATACTCAGCTTACATTTCTTTCAAATCCCTCTTTTAGGCTGACGAGAGAGCTGTTCTGAAGCATTTTACCTGGCCTGAGAAGAAAGCTGATGCACTGAGAGAAGCTGCTGTAGAGTACCGGGAAATTAAGCAGTTATATGCCGATGTTTCTTCCTTTATCGACGATGCTTCTCTGCCCTGTGAGATCATCTTGAGAAAAATAGCGAACTTAGTGGAAAGGTTTGTATCTAACACAACGTCCGTTTCTCGCTACTGGCTGTTTGGGTACAAGTTGAATCTAATAAATCATTTAAATTTAAATTTATTAAATACTGAGAGGATTAAAACCTGAAACTGCTTGGCAATGGCTTGATAACTATTAAATCTTGCCATACCCTCCTCATGCATTACTTTGCTATTTGTTGCATTTAAGATTTGTGAGAGGAACAAATCCTTAATTCCATTAAATCCTATTAATGGTGAGATTTAATAATTCTGGATTTTGTCAACGAGGTTGAACTGTGATTTATCAAAATAGTAGGGTTTAAAATCCGTAAGAACTATTTGATGTGATTCAATTAAGGTTTTGTTTCGGACGGCTTTCTTTCTGCTTTCTAAAGCAGTTTTTTAGTACAAAAAAAATTAATTTTGTACTAAAAAATTGCTTTAAGAAACGAAAAGAAAGTTGTCCCAAACGAATCTTAAGGCTTCGTTTGGGACAACTTTCTTATTTTTTTAAAGCACATTTCTAATACAAAAGTAACTAATTCAGGAAATTTTTATGCTAAAAAGCTAAATTAACGAGCAGTAAGAAAGCTGCTCGAAATGAAGCCTAAATCTTGATGATATCCTGCCTTGCTGAATAACGTTTATCAACATTTTGAAAAAATTATTGATATATGAATATTTCTGTAAGGTCTGAACGGAATGTTCAGAGGCTGATCAAGTTAAGAGGCTCTGCCATGGTCGCTTACCAAGACTGCAAAATTCCAATAGACTGGATGCTTGATTCAGGAATTATTAGCATGGTATTAATCATTTGTTATGTTTTTTTTTTTTATTCTCTACCTTTTTAGGTACTGTAAGTATTTTGCGTGGATATCAATATTAATCTGTTTATAATTTGAATTCAAAGCAGATAAAGCAGGCTTCTGTGAGGCTAGCCAAAATTTACTTAAAGAGAGTGTTGACAGAGCTGGAGTTCACCTTGCAAATAGAGAGGAGGTCGGCTCAGGAGTCTCTCCTTTCTCAGGGTGTGCGATTTGCTTATCGGGTTTACCAGGCAAGTTCTTAATCTCAATCTCACAAAACCTATTAAGAAAAGTTTATTTCTTTTTCAATCTATTTTATTTTCTTCATACTTTTATCTTTAACACTCTAATTCAATCAAGAAAACTTTATTTCTTTTTCATTCTATTTTATTTTTTTCATACTTTTAATTGAAGTGTTCAAAAAACAAATGAAGTTCAGTTATTTTCATGTCCTGGTTCAAATATATAGGGGGCAACGGTCACAGAATTTTAAAACCTTTAAGTTGTTAATACAATTAATTTCAAGGATTAGTAATGGATGGTTGAGATAATAACATACAAAAATCTTATTTTATATGCTAGAAGTTATTCGCCAAATCAAATTTTGTTATGGTTGTACAGTTTTAATTTAAATTATATATGATCAATATATTTTGTAACATCATTAAGAGCATACCATCCATTTCTTGTATTCTTGTCATTACTACATTGAAATCTCATGAAATTTTGCTTATATTAAGGCATAATTTGGGACACCTTTCTTACTGCTTTTTAGTACAATTTTTTCTTTCTCAAAAAAATTTTTGTACTAAATTTTACTTTATAAAACAATTTGAAAGTTATCCTAAATAAAGCCTAAATTGCATTCACTAAGAAAACAATTGACTGAAGCCGAGCCTATGTAAATGTTGTTGACCTGTAAGCTACGACCCAACCGACTCCACTAACCACGATCTACTCACGTTGCCCTTCTCAAAACTAGATGGAACTCCCTCCCTCTCATTCAAACTAACACAGGCAAAGCCGAAGCCCTCATTTTGCTCGATCCACACCGCCCTCTTCATCCCGTTTGTCTCACACACACAAGCAGGAAGAAGAAATCACACCTGATTCATATTCCGTCTCCGACGCCGACTTCCGTATCCCGCCAGATCCGAAGCCGCACATCCGATCCTGCCTGCAAGTAAACACGACAAGATCTGACCGCCTCGACCCGCCATAGGCTCCTTTGATTTAAAATAAATACAATAATAATAATAATAAAATTAAGCATTTAATAAGAAAATAACACCTATGTGATGATTTCCATTTCATGGTTAAAATATATAATGGGGATACACGTTATATGTATTATTTAACTACTTCAGCGAGGCTTGTAGAGTCATATGCTACATAACACACAAGGACATGAAGAAAACAAGTTTAGATTCTATAGTCTTACTATTCTCCTTTAGCAACATTGTCCAATTTAACATTTCAGAGTTACTTTAAGGTGCTCAAGTCATCAGGAGCATTCAGGCTTATGGAATTATTTTCTTTTGGTCTATCTTGTTTTGGATTTAATTGTTTTCTTTTGGTCTATGTTGTCCTGAGCTATTAGAGCTTGATGTTGATATGCTGTTGAAACTGTTAGACTTTTCAATATTTTTGCATGAGATTCAGGGAAATTTTATCTGACAATTAGTTCATAAAGTTCAATTAAAGATTGTTTCGAATTTTGCTGGCTTAGGTGGAAGAGAACCATAGGCATGTTAATAACATCAAAATAATATGATACATTAATACTGACTTTTCTAACAACTACAGCTATCAATGGCCCATGATTAGAGAATTTGTAGAACTATAATTACCTTGAAAATGATGATTCTTGCAAAATATATTCTATGCGAGGACCAGAAATTAGATCTGCTAGAGATGTTGAAATTAACAGCAAGGCTATTAATAATCTTTTCCAAATATCTTACATTACAGAGGATATCAAGTATGAAATAGATGTTCAGATGACATGTATCTACATTGAATGATTGTGAGATTTTCTTAGTGAATGAACTTTAACAAACAAATTAGAAAATTGAAATTATTCAAGTAATGGTGGTTTATGTCTTTCGGGTGCCACTATGCACTATGTGCAAGTAATTAGTGCACTATACTTCGAATCAGAGTGATTGATATAAAATGTATTGGCATGATAATAGTTATGATAGCACATAGGCTATACAACATTATTGGACCATGAAAATAATAAAAGCATTAATGATCACGAGGAAGACAAAATCATTTGAAATGTCAAAATACATCTATTCTAAAGCAAAATTCATTGATAATGTACGCCACCAGATCCATAGCACTTGAACAAATGGACAGAAGGCAATATCTGTATAATGTCTCCACTCTATATGTTGAAATCAAATCCCATATGTGCTCTGATCGTCGTATCCAATATCTAATTCTAACAGTCATAGAATATTGTGTGAGTTAAAGATTCAAGTTTCATCCTCCCCCTTAACAGGGTTGAAGTTGACATAACTTGGATTATAAAATGTCCCCTAAATTTTTACAAAATACAAATATTTTTCAAATGACTTTAACATAAACCTCGATGATGATCGTGTTGATAGAAAATCTCAACCGTAAGGATCCCAAACTTTTAAAAATGCCTCCAAAATTCCTATAATAATACAAGTGATTGCAAAATCACCTCCTGCAACTGTTTGTCTTGGGTGATCAATCAAAGGGGTTAATTCTCAAAAGCCTATAAAAACTTCAAAATCTAATCATTAAAACTTAAAACTAAAGCCCATCTACCTCCCGCAACTGTTTGTCTGGGGTAATAAATTTAAAATTAATCTCAGCTCACAAAAAGCTCATAAAGAGCAAATGACATGTCAGGTGTATCATTATGATTCATCCTTAAATAGTCTCTTGTTAGTAAGGATGTGAAATGTGCCTTATGATCGGGTGATTTTGCCACAAAATGATACAATTATATTACGATCATGGCCAAAGCCTATATGTTCCCTAATGATGTTAAACCCTCAAGTAATGAATCATAGAGTATACTTGATAGAAATAAAGCCCTCTGTTAGCTAAGGTGAATTCATATATATCCCCTTAGAGACAAACATCACCCTAGATCTATTAAGTATCATTGGATGAAGCAACCCATGACTGTCGATAAGGTTCCTTTTATCAGGTTGGGTCGACCACTTTCTCTGACTAAGTAGACCAAGGACCATGACAGCCCAGGACGACGGAACAATGAGATATTGATCGGGGTCATTTTCATTACCCCATCACCTGTTTTATGTTTAAATTGAAAAAGTTTCAAATCATAAAATTAACTTTAAATCTCTAAAGTTTTTGTTATTATATGCTTGGAACTTAGTACCTATCCCATGACTAGTCTTAATCGAAAGTTTTCTCTTGTTTTCGAGAGGGGTAATTAATTTAGGGGCTTGCGCGTTTAGGAAATCATAACTCAAATTATAAAGTCCTCGCAAAATGAGGGCGAAATCTCTGGGTAGTGTTTTATCTAAAACTCAATATGCCTTCTAAAATTTTACTCTGGAAACTAAACTCGTTAAAACTCTCCTCGACTACATAAACAAATTACTCGAAAAGAGATGACACGGAGAGGCAAAATTTTCAGAGCCCACAGATTTCTTATGATTTTTCAAGGGTCTATTTTCTCTTTTTATCTTTGGCTAGATACATGTAAACTATAATAACAACAAAGTTATTAAAAACCTAATAAATTCATTAAAAATAGGATTTTGAAATAATGAATCATATAAAATTTACTATATATATTAATTCATATTATCTTGTTTCTGCACTTTGAAAATGTAGGGTGATGTATCAGCTTCCAATTACTAACACTTACCTTTTATTTGTGTATAATGAAACTATATAATACTCTTTACCATCCAGCTAGTACGTGGTTCTAGTATTTAATTGGCTAATGCTATCATTAAAATTGGAAACTCTGAAGCTACCATTTAATTTGGTGGACTGCAATTCTCTGCAGCTACTACAAATGCTACCGTCTTTCCTATCTATGGCATGGATACTAAAGGGCTTGCTAGGTGACCTAAAGCTGTTGAAGTTTATTCGCAACATGCTCATTCATTCAATGACCACTAGTCACTAGAGCTAGTACTGCTAAAACAGTTCAACAAAACAGTACCTCAGTCTTTGAAAGGCTTTCACACCCTAAAGTTTTAACTATGAAGAGAACTGATGTCAAACAGAAGGCTTCACTGATCTTATCGAGTGTCATCACACTACTAATTGAGCCTTTCTTACCAGGGAGGTATGATCATGAGGCTTCTTTATCTGGAGTAAGATTATTTGGTAAGAAAAAGAGAGAGATGAATGCAGAGCTACGAGCTCAGCAATCATTAGCCATCTATCTATCAACTCTCTCAGCCTTGGAGCTAGAGATTAACATTCCCTACCCATAATAAATATGAAAATCTAAAATGAGTTAAAAGAAATAGCTCTACTGGAAAGATAAAATAGTCTTTCTGGGAACAACAACAACAAGCTCCTGTTCCTTCAAAGAAGAATCATGAAATTCTATCCGCAAGGGTACACATAGTTCTAAAAGTTGCAAAAGATGATAACTTGATAAAGAAGAGGTATTAAACGCCATTGCCAATCAAGGCCAGGAGAACACTAAGAGAGTTATCATAACTCCACTAAGAGAGTTATCATCTACCACGATAACTAAAGATAAACTAAGATCAGCTCCACGTGATGAACATTGGAGTGTGACACTTGGACCTTATATGATCAGTTAGAAGAAGTTCCTTCAGATGATGGGCAAAACAAGGACCTAGAAGAAGAATTGCTTAATGAGACACTTGCACAGACATAAAGATGTATAAAGCGCCATATGAAGGAAATGGATAATGAGATATCAAAGCTAAATAACAAGATGAAATAAATGATGGCACAAATGACTACGATGATGCAGTTGATGTAAAAGAACATCGCTGTGAATCTTGCACTTGCTTAGTTATATAATCACCAAGCATCGATCAATGTTCCTTTTAATACGTCAACTGACTAAATGCTCCAGATATCTAAAGTACAAACCACACATGAAGAGGGAAATAAAGCTAATTGTTTTATTCATCAACATACTCTCCAAAATGTCCCAAGTACATCTGAGCCTGTGACGACTGCACAACTAGAATCAATCATCAATGAAAAGATCAAAGTTATCATTGCCTTATAGCAAGTAGAGAAATTTGTAAGCAAGGGCCACCTGTACATGGCTGAGTATGATTAAGTGTCATATCCTAAAGGTTATTGTGTACTCAAGTTCAAAACTTTTAATGAAAGTGATAATCCTAAATAACACTTGGC